CAAAGACAGACTGGGTTATTAAAAATTGCTGGAAATCAAATTGTTTTTTTGCCCCCCCCCCCCAATCCGATTAATCGAAAAAGTAATCGACAGATTAATCGATTATCAAAATAATCGTTAGTTGCAGCCCTAATCTCAACCCAACAAACACAATACAGGTCTTCTCAAATAATGACACCAAACTCATCAACCCCCTACATGGTCATGCTGATGCAGTTAAGGTCACATACACACAATGGTGTATCATCAGTGAGATGAACTCGGTCACATACGGAGGACTAGCCAATCATACCTTCTGCCTGGAGGTAACCAAGGACTTCACCATGGGTCACATCAGCATCCCAGGGAGAGTGTAACTAGAGACTGACGTCTCCCCATGGTGGGACGACACCTTCCATGAAGAGGGCACCCGAGCCATGACCAAAATCTTAAAGATTGAAAATCACCTCCATCAGGCACAAGTGGAGTCTAACGTAGCAAAAAGGACTGCAGAGATTCTGACCAAAGCCCCCACTCGCTCAGCCCAGCATGTGTACACATGGTAGGACTGGGTGCTTCAAGCATGTGTCAACACAAGTGGTCTCATTTGCATCATTTTGCGGGCGCAAACATTACAGAAGTTGGATCCTTAGAAGATTATCCGGGGCCCAGGCAGTGACCCTCTGTGGGACAAAGGTCTGTCCCAAGGGGCCAAGGGGGGAACTGTAAGGCTGGAGGCCTTGCAGGCCCCGTCGGTCTGAGCTCTGGCAAGCCTGTGATGCTCCACCCAGAGTCCTGTGCAAAGGTCCATCGGCTCCGACAAGACTGGACCCAAATCACCTGATCACCACATCAAAAGGGACACCTCACCCCACTGGCCAGCCAGAACCCTCCAGCCAAATTCCAGCGACAAGGCCTGGCTGCGTCAAGACACAGATATATCCTACACTCGCTAACTCACATCAACACAGGAGGTATTACCCCAGACTAACATTAGGGACACATACACCCATGTTTGGTCTCATTTGAATGGTCACAGTATGACGGGCACAGTATTCTCAAGCTTAAAGCGGTATGTTTTCACATAAGAGAAATATAGAATGTAAGATTAAACCCACCAAAGAGGAGGATCTTATCACCTGGTAAAACAAAGGAATTGTCACATTAAAGCAATTTGATTTTCTGAGGGTCTGAAAATTGATAAGATCAACAGTTCTCCAGGACACACACTCAAGATCAGAGCAGTCCCTAAAATAATCAGTCACAATATTTGGTACAGTCTGTCACTTGGTTTGGAATACTTAAGGAAGAGCTCCAGAGTAGCACAGGGAGACTCTCTGTAATCAGTGCTGTATGAATCTACATCTGTATTCAGATATTTTCTGCAGTTACTATGTGTCCACTCAGCTGAGGTATGGAATTGTTGTATACTTTTGATTGGATTATATAGTTTAGGACTTGTGGCCACATGTTAAAATTACCTTAAAGTTATATTTAGTTAAATTGATGTGTTATATATTAATTGTGAATAAACTGTGTTTTGATTACTTTTTGGCTGTCTGACTTTGTTAACTTCTGCATGTTTCTCAGAGACTGGGGTTATTTTAACACTCTTTTGCAGCCTGTGACTGCCCAAGTTCAATTATGAACACAAGAGTTATGAATACCGGCTCAGCCTCTGAGGCGTGCACACGCTGAGTTACGGCAAAGTCCGGC